GTTAGCAAATCGTTGGTTAGAATATGACATTGAGAAAATTCAGAAGAAGTCATCAAAAAGTCCTCTTTCACTTATTGTTCGGCATAGTTTTTTTCATCTATTTAGAAAAAATTGTTACCCAAACATGAAAACTTTGGACAGATCAGTTGAATTTTTAGTTAAAAATTTTAATTAGAATAGCTTTCATGGTTAATTATCTTTTTGTCTGATAAAATTGTTTTTGTGTACGTGCAAACAATCACGTTAGATGATAACAGTTTCGTCGAAAAATTTTTGAAATTTATTTCGTTATATTGAAATATGGATTAATTTTTTTTTATTTCCATAAAGAGACATTTTAAAACTTAAAATTAATTTCTTTAAAAATACGCTTGTAATTATCGACCACACTGGAAAAATTATTTAGTAAAATCTACTAAATGTTTAGTAACAGTTACTCAATGTAGTTGAGTGAACTACGTTGAGTAAGATTTGTACATAGATTTGAGTAAAATTTACTTAACTTCTTAAGTAGAATTTTTACAAATACTTGAGTTGAATTTTTTGGCCTTGTGTCACACTATACCATACAAGGGTTTTGTATATTTATACGTTCGAAAGCTAAAAAAAATAAACCCTGAGTACTGTTAATTAAATTCAAAATTTTATAATTTCCAGGACAGATATGTAATGTCATTGTAAGTTACACTGCAAATGCAAATAAGTAACGATAGAATTAATTTATGTTTATCGACAACAATTAAATATTGGAAATGGCTCGGTCTACGCTCATATTAAAATCATGTGAATAAATGATTTATACGTGTAACTACAAGAATATGATTTATAATTATTAAGCACATTATCGTCAACTACACTAAAAGTAATCGTTTCTATGCTTACAGTATTCTCAAACATCAGCAGAGGTTATAATGCTCATAAAAAGCTTGGATCACTTACCTTCAAAAATAGCATTAAAAATTCAAGCTTCCATTATCTTAGCATGTCTTTTACAAAACTTTGTTCATCAAATTTCACGCTCATGCAAACTTCGCTGACTGCAGACAACGTATCATGTACAAACAAGTATAGTTACATTTTAACGATTACCAAACTACTTTCGTGAATTTTACTTAACGTTGGTGTCAGTGTCAGTAAAATTTACTCAACTAGACTGAGCAAAACTGGCTTAACAACTTGATTAATTTGTATTCAATAGCAATTTTACTAGGATTTACTCAACTAGGTTAAGTAAATCTTACTAAATAATTTTCCCACCGCGGTGGTTAAAAAAGTGTTTGCATCACTATACGCTTTATGTAATCCTTTATTTTTTTACAGACTCTACTACAAAAACTACCTCGTGTATTCACGGCTTTTTTTTGTATTTTCGTTTTTCGGGTGCGTAATTTGTAAAAAATAAAGCCCCGCCAAACGAGACAAGAAAAGGAAAGGAGAAAGAGTCAGGAACCGATGCGCGAAAGCTGACTGGCACGTATATCGTCATTAATGAGCCTAGTCGGAATAAAAGGACATTGTAACATACCGTATACATACGCATTTTCCAGGAGAGAAAATAATGATTTTTTTCGTAAAACAAAAAAACAAAAAAAAAAAGATGTGGCTCTGGGGTGTTATTTTTTTGAACGTTATTTAAACTCAGTGTACTCTCAGCTTTGAAATTGATTTTATAAAATACAAGGGAAAAATAAGGATAATTGAATGAAACAATTGATTCGCCGACTCTAGCAGCTGAACAATAAAATAAAAAATCTATGACATCTCTTTAAGCTTAATTTTATTAGATGGAAATCCCAGGTGCGATTAGAGACAAAAAAAAAAAAAAATGAAAAAATAAAAAAATAATGCAAACAAAAAAAAGGAAGATTGTGCCTTTATAGTGCAGTAAGCCGTCGAACCTTTGAAGCCCAAACTGCGGATGTGTGTATATGCGTTCTCTTTGCTATACCGAGTGCGTTTGCTCGAATTTTTCGGTTGCAGATCCAAATGATGACGTTTTTTTTTTTCCTTTGTCAAACAATTTTTATAAACGGGAAATAATAATATCTTGCGACGACTTTTGTATCTAGTATTATTTTAGATTAAAGTAAAAAGAGTTAAAGCACAAGACGAACGAAAGAGTATAAATAACACCAACCCTC